AAAATCACTTTTAGACTTAGAGAAACTATCTGCTTACAATGAGCTGTAATTAAGATAATTCAAAAGGAAAAAATACAATAAAAATCTCAAAATGTCTATGTTCAATAACTCCTGCACTTAAATATAAAGCCAAATCAAAAGTGCAGAACAGCTAAAGGATAATACAAAGCTATTATGAGCTATAAAAATTGACTAAGATTGTGATCAAAAGTTAGTCTTTTAAGAATGATGAAAAATATTAAATATTTACATAAGAAATAAAAAAGTAGTAAGAACATAAAAACAGGAAAAATAAAAGAAATTATTGTGATAAAAATTCATAAATTAAGAAAAGAAACTGAGTTAAAATGTAGACTGATTAAATGTTTTATGTGTGTATATCATATAAACAGATACTCTGTACTTCTCCATATACTAATATATAATGTATGCATAATATAATATTTTAAAATTCTATGGGAAATATGAAGATAAAAATAATTGCATGTGTTTCTAACCTTAATATTATAAAAGCACTTTCATAATAGCCACATATATGAAGCTAAATTCATGTATGAATGTATATACAAATGTGTATATGTATGTGTGCGTATTAAGTAATCTTGGAAAAGTAAAATAAGGGAGAAGCTCATATAATAAAGAAAAGAAAAAACGGAGTATGTTTGTAAGTACGGGTGCAGCAAAATGGGAAAAGATTTACACTTTGGAATTAAATTTGAAAGTCTAAGTAAAATGCATGCATTCATATGATAACAGAAATGACAGAATCAGCCCTAAAAATCAGTTGAAAACAAAATTTTCAATGTTTCTGAGGGAGGAAAATAAAGAAAAATGTTTATGTTAATCCAACTTATGCCAGCTCCCTTCCTAAACAAAAGATTTTCAGTGTTGAATTGTAATCAACTCCTGAGGAACAGATAATTTAAGTTTTCCAAAATATTCTAGAAAACATGAAAATATAGTTTCCTAACTAATTATAGAACAAACATAAATTAATATCCTAAACCCCTAAAATGAAGTAGATTTAGTCACAGAAAATGAAGACAAATTTCCCTATCTAAAATTCATTAATGTACTTTAAAAATTATAAAGTAAAAAGATAGATAATAATTACATATGTAAGAAATTTTTATTTGATAAAAGATTTTATTTTGTCTTGATCTTGCAAATATCACAGTAATTGGTATTTTTGTACAACTCTCTGTATGTCTATCCTATTGTGTATATGTGGGTGTGTATGTGTGTGTATGTCTGCAGACAAAAATCCATAATGGTGAGATATTAAAACCATCCCTATTAAACTCATTAATAACAAAGTTTATTATTATTATCACTATTATTAGGTGTCAAATGATTTTTCCATATTGTTCTAGAAAAAGCAAACGATTTAAGATTGTTTTTAAATATGAGACATAAACCCTGAAAAAAATAATATTTTTAAAATGATTAAATTGCTGAAAAACTCAAAATAACTAAAATCAAATGCAATAGGAGTATTAACTGAAAGGTGAAACCACAAATAAGGAGCTGTATGGAAATTAATATGCAATCGAGCTCAGCTATGAAACAGAGTAGTAAAGGCCTATTTTTAAAATAGCTTACATATCTAGATGTCAAATGTATGAAAAATTTGAAAAATAAGTAAAGTATGAAATGCTATTATATATGTATAGTGTTGTAAAGAAATACTTCAAAAGAAAATATAAAATTTATTATACAGAAAAATTCAGTATTGTAAAAATGTTAAGTTCAAACTAAATTAATCTAGAGATTTCACATGATCCAAATAAAATACCACAGCCTTATTTTTGGAACTCGAACAAGCTGATTCTAAATTTCTTATGTAAAAATAAACACGAAAAACTGGCAGTAAGTTTTTGAAAAAATTAAAAGTAGTAAGAGAGAATGCTTCAATAAGATGAGATGTAGTTTAATACTACCATAATTGGTTTTGTGCTGATATCTGATAGGCAGACTGATAACTTAACAAAAGAAAAAGTCAAGAAATAAAGGAAAACATACTTGAGAATCCATTGTATCATAAAGTTAGCATCTCAAATCCAAAGAAAAATAGCTTTCTTAATATGATGCTGGGAAAACTACCTGGTTTTTTTTTTAAGCTGGTTATTAATATAAAAGTTGACCCCAATAAATTTCAGGTATATCAAAGCTTTGAATATAAAAATAAAACTTCAAAAGTAATAAGAAATTGGCATACTTAAAATATTTTTATGAGAATTCTCCTCACAATAAGGGGAACCAGCCACAAGCAGCATAAAAAGAAGCAATAAATATGACTATCAAAATTAAAATATTCTGTAATTCAAATCTCAAGAAAGGGAAAATAATAGTAAAGCTTATTAAGTAGAATTATTTCCTTTAGATGTAACCCATAAGTATATAATTTCTTTAAAAAATAACTGAACTGGAAAAAATGGCAAATATAGAAGAAAATGTAGCTTTAAAGACAGTAGCTAATTACAGAGTTAAAATAGCCTTTGATTAAAAAATGCTATTTTGAGACATTTTCTAGCATTATCTTTAGTGTCTATAAACAAAGAAAAAGAAATAAGGATGCTCATTAGAGCACTGAAACAATAAAAGACTGCGAAATTTCCAAGTTTCAAGAAGTAGTAAGTGAGTTCAGTCAATTTCAGGGCCCCCAAAACTAAATACGTGGTAGCTTTTATCAAGGAGTGCTATAGAATTATAATGAAAATATCCCTAAAATATAGTGTTAAAAAAGAGAGATGCGTGTATCCATATATAAAGGTTTTTTTTTTTTTTTTTTTTTTTGAAATATACACAAAAGACTTTAAAATTGAGGTTGGAGAGGAAGGAAGAAGGCAGGAATTGCTTTCCACATCATAGCTTCTTAACTGCTTGAAATTTTTCACAGACATTTGTTACTTTTTACTTTTAAAAATAAAAATAAAATTTGGCAATTGAAGTAAGCATTAGTCATTTTATTGTAGTTTTATTTTTTGTAGTAATGGGAATTGGTTTCAAGTGCTACAACCCACTGAAGCTACACTCCCAAGCCTTTTCTTTTGCATTCTGAGCAGGATCTCACTGTCACGCCCTTGTTGGCCTCAAACTTGCATTCTTTATGCCTCAGACTCGCAGGTATCTACAATTCCAGGCAGGCACTGCCAGCCAGGCCACTCAGCCTCTTTCTGACCCTCATGAACTTGATGATAGCCAGGAAATGGTGCAAAATTCTGTAAAATTTTTGATAACATAATTTCATGTCACAATCTCTCTATGTAATATTTGTCCTCTCAAAGCAAAATAACTTCAGGAGTCAGGAAAAGGCAAAGATGTTCTGTAATCACTGTGGTCATTTTAACTCCTGATGGTGTACATGTGAAAATATTCAGATATTCATGCATTTTAAGTGAAATTATAAGAAATTCGTAGCATGTATGGGAGATACAAGAAAGAGTACTGAAGTTATATTCGCATCATTTGGATTTGAAATGGGCTGTATCATTTACTTGGACAAGATACACAGTCTATTAAATCCTTAATTTATTGACTGATAAAATAGAGATAGAGGCAAAAACTTTATAGTGCAATTTTGGAGATGACACTCTGGTGTATTAACATTGAATAAAGATTCCAGGACATTTAGAGCCATGAGAGGACCATCCAAAAGATTTTATCTTTGCGGTTTTGTCTACAATAGCATCTTCAGGCCAGAAAATGGTTAGAGGTTCCAACGCATCCAAAGTAAATTCCAAAAAGCTATAAAAACAGGAGAATGGAAACCACATGGAAACCACTTTATGGAGTCTCAATTCACTGTGCAGCTCCTGCCCAGCATAGAAAGCACAGAGAGGCATGTGGGCTATATTCATCTGGATGCGCTTTGAATGCTTTTTAAATACTCTTTAATTTGTTGTTGTTGTTAATGACCCGATTGAGAATTTTTAGGGTCTACTAAAGGAGCATTTTATTTGCCACTTAGCACTATCTCTTTTCTTCCAATTTTCTTCTCTCTCTGTTTTCGGCCTCTTCTTCCATCACATAAATAGATAGAACCATGCCATATGTGTGATTTGCTTCAATTTCACTCTTTATCCCCTTATAGAAAGTTGTTTTAAATGGACTATACCAACAGAACTAGAGGTGCTAACTAGATCAAACAGTTAATTCTGAAAAAAAAATTTGAAGGCTTTCCATAACATTTGTTTATGTTGGCTTTTTCATTTAGTTTCTAGGAAAATTGTATCACTGTGACAGTTAATGCAAATCCCAGCAAGACCTGGTAAGCAAATAACTTGCCAAGTTTTAACTAGAAGTACTCCTTAGCCTTTACCAAAAGAAGGAGCAATTTGAGGTGTATTTCTATAATGGATGAGCCTTCTGTCTGAGTATTCCATTACCTCATTCATTTTAAAGTCAATGTAGAACTTATGGACAGTACCCAAATTCACAGCCCTGAGTCCAGACTCCCTTTTTTAGTCTACAGAGGAGTCATTGCATAAGTTGTCATCTCTCCGAGCCAGCTCCTCTCCATCATATTCTTTTTCCTGAGGGGCACAAGGGTTTCAGACTCTTCAGCTAGCCAATAATGTCAGTCTCATTAAAGAGCAGCAAGCTAGTTAAAGCCTTCACTTTCTGTCTTATGGGAAATTAGCATATCCTAACAGAGTGATTTGGCAAAGGCAACCAAGTAGTGACGTATCCAAGATTCAAGCCCCCGACTACCATTGTGTTCACTCTGTGATTAACCAATTAGTAATCAGGAACTTTTATGAAATATTTAATTTTCCCAAATGTTTTGAAAGTATCCCCTTAGAGGCTTGTACTCCTAAATATGGAGAGTACAACTTCTTCAAGGAATGACAGGATGAGACCATCTTCTCTAAGAAGAAATGATGTCATGGTTGCTTAGGGAGTTAAGCTGATCTGGGTGCATACTTTGTCTATAATTAGCGTTCTGCAGGGACAAGCTAAGCACTGCTGGGGTAGGATTACCTTTGCTATTTCACGGTGTCACTACCCTTGTGAGGCTGATTATATCATTCCTTCAAATGTCCTCGGGAACAAGAGAACAGAGAGTGTTAGCATCACCAAATGGCTTGCCTATGTCACACACATCCTTTACACTTTTAAAGCTCTTTTTAAATCTCTCCACCTGACGATATTCAGGTTTCTTCTGGATGGCCAGAGTAGTCCTTTTAGGAACACCAGGTAAGTGAACTTCTGGGCCTGGAACTTTGATAAATGGGGTAAAAGCTAAATATACTCAAGTGGAACTTCAAAGTGAAGGAAGACATATCTAAAAAACCCAAAAGTCAAGGAGACCAGGATTTGAGTGGGAAATGAAATCCAAGGTTCTAAGAAAAAAAAATGTAAAACATGGATGTGTTGTTTTATTTTTTTATATAAGAGGACCACACTATCCAAGGAAGTATCTGTCTGCTTGTGTGTACAAAGCAAGATGCCCATGTCTCTTCAGTCCCCGTTCACCTAGTGAGGTTGTTTGATCATTCGCAGCCTATGTCAGGCATCTTTCATCTACAGCCTTCTAAACTCTTCCCTGACTTCTAGCAGACACATAGAACCATTCCATCCTTTGAACCAGCTCGAAATGTGTTCAAATTTCTTAGTTTAATATATTTATGTAGTTTTATCTTCTAGAGATGAAGCCAAGTGTAACATATTATTTTGCTTTATATCTCTGAAAGCTAACCAATTCATAAGTGTAAGCATACTTCAAGTAAGAAGAGCTGAGTTCAAGTATTACTTGCATTTTCCATGAGATTACATTATACATATAACAGGTCACAGATGCTTTAATGAACTCGAGTTTATGGCATACCTGACTAATTCTATGGGCATTCTAAATGATGTCTTAGCACACCTTAGATTTGGTAGGCAATTTGTGAAGAAGTGAGCTAAGAAAAAAAAAGTGTTACATGATTATTATGAATATATATATATATATATATTATATGAACCAAAAGAAAAGAGTTTTAGAAGATAAATTTACTTTTGAGGAAGATAGCAGGATAACAAAGGAAGAGAAATAGTTTTATGGAGTCATCTACTGAAGAGGAATATTAAATATAATTTAATAATTGTGATACCAATAACTATCAGAAAAGCAAGGAATGTTACTTGTATTACTCTCATGGCATCTGTGAAATATTTGGGCAATATGTGTTCAAAGTTTCTATCTTTCTGATTTTGGAGCTTTCATAGTCTCAGTGGCCTGTCATGTTCAAGAAAGAGTGCTTATTCATAAGAAGCCGAATATTCATTCTTTAGTCGCTAGTAAAAATGGGTCATAGATCATGTCATGTTTTCTGTAACCTAGTTAATAATTCCGGCATGAGGGAAGTTTCAAAGTCATGGTTTCATACAGGAACCTTTTAAAACTCATTATCTTCTGATAATTATATTAATATCAAAAGCATTAAAATCATGGAGCTCATTTTAGAAAAAAAAGTCGGTGGTGAACGTGTTCTGGGGACGTTTTCTCTTTCAACTTTCTGGGAACAAAAGAAAAGACTGTTCAGGAATCTAATGTGACACCTATTTCAGAGGCAGAAAAAACAAGTTCACAGAAGCATCACATCGTGAGTTAGCGGATTCTGAAGGGAAAAGCAGGAATAACAGAGCAACATCTCTAAATGTAACTCTGGGCACTGGTGATTGATTTGCATTTCTGCCTATGTCTGAATTCATATTCCATAAGCACAGATGGAGGTGTGATAGATTTTTTTTGAGCACATCTATTTATTCAGATACCGGATTCAGTCTCTGAGTAGGGAGATGGTAAAGGCTGCTGTGAGCAGATGGCGCATAGGCACTATGACTTCAGAAACAACATTCTTTAAAGACGAGTGGCACAGTAATAATAATAATCCTTAGCACATATATTGCACCTTTGGTCTGCCAACATTAACTAATTAATCTTTAGTAGACCCCTACGAGATAAGTAAGTGCTTATAATTATATCTATTATGCAGTCAAGTCAACTAAGAATGTGTCTGCACATGCTGTGGAAGAATTGGCCCAAGTTAAAGACCGGGTGGATCCAATTTGCATGGCTCTTTAAGATTTCTGCTCTAGTAGCAGAGACTAGTATTTCTAGACAAACTGCTGTTTGAGGCACCCAGTGGATTTGAAGCAGGATATCAACCGCAAGACATATTTCATTCAGTAGGTTTATGCCGTGGTCGTCAAAAATAGGCCTGAGAAAGTTGAGTCATTTTTCTAAATCCTCAGAGGCCATAACTGGCCAGAAGCAGGCGTGGAATTACAGAGCCCTGCCTGCTTCTCCTGTGTGAAGAAGGCAATTTAATTATACACAGCTTTTAATAATATTCTTTATATTATGGAACAACATGAGGAGTTGGTAGATGTCTGAAGCCGTCCCTTAGTATTTGCTGTGTTTGAGGGTTTTTTTCTGTCATAAGTTTGTTGAGTGTGACCTATGGCTCTGGCCAAAGAGATTAATAATCCATGCCAGAGTGCAGATCTGCTGAGCTGCTTGAACGTGACACTGAATTGATTCAATTCTGAGCTTTTGGTTGCACTGACATGGAGGAGCAATCTTGAAGATCTAAATTTTGGTGTCTTTGAAAGTGGCGTGACAAGAGAACTGAGCCTTGATTGGAAAATACAGAGGAAAAAAAATTTTTTTTAAATAGCAGTATAGATAGTCCCCCCACCAAAATTTAGGAGAGATGAAGGAGAAAGTGAAAGGGAAGTGTCTCTAAGTACATGATATTTACTGGAAAAGCAAGTGATATTTCACTGTCCAAGCCACCTTTCATTAGCAGGATGGCTCAAAGATTATTCACAAAAAAAAAGTAATTTCACAAACCACAAATAACTTTATAAACCCTAAATCCATATCTGTTCCTCGTTTTAAAAAGTTAAAAGTCCTAATAATACTTCTAGGGTAGCACTGTTGATAATTGTAATCATCAAGCCCTTGGAGTGACCATCTACTTTTCCTTTATCTTTTTAAAACCTGCTTTTGTTTCATGGAAGGGATCACAAATTCATATCTCTTAGAGAATTGGAGAGATAACGTTAAATGTGCACCAGCTGAATACATAATAACAATGGTGGTCATGCTTACAGACAAATATTGGCTGCAAGCCCTTCTATGGGCAGACAGATCGCAGGTCATATTAGATACAAACCCCACTGGCAGAGAGGAGTGTATTTCTTCCTCATCAAAGAGACTTTCTTCTACCAAATATTATATTCTTCTGCTTCCTTGGATTAATATGCTCTCTCTTTTCTTTGCTTATCAAAACATTTAACAAAAATCTACATTACATTCACGCTCACTCACAAGGTCATTCTTGATCTCCATAGTTCATAGTGATCTCTTCTTCTTGCACAGAATTCACAAATTTCACTCTTTGCACATCTCATTTCCCACTGACAGAAGGCATGTGGTGCCTGACTTTCTAATCTCCTATAAACAGTTGCATAGTTATCCTTTTAGGCCCTGTACTTGTAAAACCCACAAGCATTATAACTGAATTATCACACACACTTGGAATTGAGAAATACACTGGGTACATAAAAACTCTCAATAAATATTAGCTATTATAATTATTTTAAGATATTTTAGTACTGAATTATATTATTTCCTACCTGGTATTTCACAAAAATGACCATAAAGGTAGATGTTACACATTTATAAAAGTATGCAGCATGCCAAACAAGTTCATCTTCACAGAATACTTAGAAGCACATGGTATTTTCTTTCACGGAACAAAGATCTCGAGTTCAGTGAAACACAGATAATAAAATGTGGGCACAACTAGGAGATGAAGGAGCAGCAAGTGGGAGCTTTGGATTCCAAGGCCAATCTAAGAGGAGAATGTATCAACGGTGACTCATAGACCTCTCTAATATAGTCCCTGGAGGGATCTTCTGCTTTTCCTAGGGCACGCGACCTTTAATATTACAGCTGACATGTCTGCAAATCATTAACAGATCCCATGTCTTTAGTTGAGATTATAATTTCATTGAGAAAAGGTCTTTTAGCTGGTAGTTTTAATTGACCCTTAAATTCTTTCTATAAGTTTTAGTATCCTTTGAATGGACAATAAATATTTTTAAAATTCACTTTGCTTGAGACTTTAGTAGCAGTTTGACTGTAAGTTTGTCATGTGAACACTCAGATAATTGGCAAATATTTATTGCAATCAGATCATTCAGATGTAAGAAGGCAAAAGCGCTTGCCAATAAAATGATGAACAAAACTATTACAGCTCTGGAGTTTTCTATAAATGAGTTCCGTGTAATCAAGCTATTTTCTTAGGTTGACAATTACAAAAACTACAATGAAACACTTTGAATGATAGATGTACATGGCACAACTTGTAGAAATCATTCTATGCCTTGTGGAAATCCTCAAAATATTAATTAGTTCTGCTTCATTCACAGTAACTCAGCATAAATATGGCTCTATGCTGTTTCACCCTACACTGTGCATTCATGTTAAACTAGAATGCAAAGTAATAGCTGAAAGCACCAGGTGATGCTTCAACAAATTCAAATTATTCAGCCACTTTTTTCACTGTGCAATGAGAAATACTATGTACCAAGATAACTGAAAAATTTGCTGAGATTAACACTAAAGATGGAGGAATTCCACTAATTAATATGATGATTCTCTTAGATATTTGGACAAAATAACTACAGATTGACTTTGACAGTGAGGCACAAGATACATTTTATAGAATTCCAACTTTGATGTAGAACGTGAAAAACTTCATACAAATTGAAGAAAAGTTGAAAGATCCCTAGGGTTTGTCCTTTGTTGAAAGCAATGAATAGGTCAACTTGTTTAGTTTTATGTTTATTTCACGTATTCTTCCATCCTTTGGAAAGCAAACCACACATATTTATATGTAGGACTAATTCCTTAAGACTATCTCCTTACCTAATACGAGAAATCCATCTCTGGATGTAACAAGGGCACTGCCGCATCTCATCTCATTTGGCTATTCCAGTGGCTATGGTTGGGTGTAGAATTTCCTTGCTAGCCAGTCTTGATGTACATGTCTGTAACTGCCAGAATTCTGTAGAATGAGGTAGGATGATCTCAAGTTGGTGTCCAGTCTGGGCAACTTACAAGCAAAAACTATAAAACAGGCTGAGGATAAAGCACTGTGGAATAGCCTTGGATTCAATCCCTTGTACTGTGACAGAGGGAAAGAAAGAAAGAAAGTTGAAAGAAAGAAAGAGAGAGAGAGAAAGAAAGGAGTGGGGGTGGGAGGAAGGTAGGGAGGGGAGAAGAGAAGAGAAAAGAAGAGAAGAGAAGAGAAGAGAAGAGAAGAGAAGAGAAGAGAAGAGAAGAGAAGAGAAGAGAAGAGAAGAGAAGACAGGGGGTGAGAGGTCCAGTAAGAGAGAAAAGGTCACGCCATATCACTGTGTATTTTGACTCGACTGTCCTCCACCAAAGATCGCATAGCAGGTAGGAACAGTGAAGTTCAACCGGGCGGGGTAGTGAATGTAGTGGAAAATAAGTCAACAGCAATAGTTTTCTTGCCAGCAGTAAATGTATTCATGATGACTCCACTGCTATTCTGATGGCGATGGAAGAAGGATTGGAGAACTAATAATAATGACATGAGTAGAGAAGCAAGACTGGTTTTTCCTCAATTTAGTAAATATCTCTCATTCTCTGTCCATCAATTCTAGGAAAGCGCTCTTCAGAACATTTGTCCTCGGCTCGGTGAAGCTGTACGGATGGTGCTGCCTCAGCAGGAAACTACCTTCTTGCAGAAGAACCGCCAATTATTTGTAGTGAAACTAAAACAGAGGAATAAATATTGCATGCTGATGGATGCTTGTCAGGAAAGAAAGTGAGGTACTCTCAATGGGGCTTGTCAGACACAAAAACCTTCAGCACATCTGCATCTTCAATGGCAAAGTGGCTAGAATTCTCCAGCTGCCTCACTGGTGAACCTCAAGATTTCTCTCATAAATTTAAATTATAGATGACATAGCACTGGAATGGAAATAGATGACACCTTTAAAAATAAATCTAGTGCAACATTTGGGAAAAGGAATCACACATTTAAAAGGGAAAAAAGAAAGTTCCGATGTGCCAAAACAGAGCTTTTATTTGTTGTCCTATTTACTATTCTATGTCTAAAATTAGCATCTCTCTTACTTTTCCTCTTTAGTCCCCTGTACACGATGCACTGTAGAGGAGTCTTGGAAGTTTTGTGCAACTCAAGGAGTAAGCTGCGTTGCAACTATAACAAAAAGCTTGCCAAGGTTGGGAGCCAAACTGGCAAGGTTTTCTGTTGTGTCAGCATTTGAGTATTATTGCAATGTTATCATATCACTATAGAAAGGGGAACAGAAAACAGCAGAGACAAGTGCTCAGGAGCATCTGAGAGGAAATGTGCACCTAGCTTTGATAGAGACTCCCTCAGTATTAGCCAGCCCTCAGCTTAGTGGGAAACTGTCAATTCAACCTCCATCCAATCGTATGAAATTATACTTTTTACATGTATTCCACAAGACCTTGATTCCAGCAGTCTTCATGAATAAGACAGAACAAATGATAATAAGTGACATAAACTTGAAAACCTGAAACTTCAGGTGATAGCTTGCTTGCTCTATAAGGAAATTTCCATTGGCCAGACTAGGGAAAATTTTAGTGGGGAAGTTCGAGAAGAAAACAAAGCTGAGGACTTTGTGTCCCTTTTGTGTATGTAGCCAGGTAAAAGTCAATGAAAATTTATACTTTATAGTAGGAAACCATGATGGAATTCATGATCTGAGCAAAAATCATACTAAAATAAGATGAGTGAATTGAGAGAGAAAAACACACACACAAATGAAGATAACAGCTAAAAGCAAAGTGAGTTAAATCAAAGCCATATCCAAATCAATAACCCATGACTATTTATTGAAGTGGGGATAATCAACATTTTGAATAACCCATGAAAGATTTTATTTTAATTTGGAAAGTTAGGCTGAACTATATTAGAAATATTTTTTAATGACATGATTTAAAAAAGCAGAGGAGAAAGGGCACTAGGAAAAGTGAACTCTTCCTTATAGGATACTTCCCACTGCTCTGATGGATTCAGTTCTCAGGTCCACCATGGAAATATGAGTAGACAGCTCAATGGATGTGCATACTGAAGTGGTGAGTTCAAGACTTTTACCTAGGCTCATTATTTGCCTCACTTATTTCCCAGCTCCCTGAAATTGAAGAGTCAAACACATTCTCACCCAGTGATCAGCTGTGGTTTCTAAGTGACACTCTGCATGTGGAGCTCAGAGAAACCTAACACCTACAGGGATGTGTTGAAGAAACCAGATAGCAAGGCCGCCAAGCGACTCCATCTCTGTTTCCATTCCCTGGGGTTTATCAACTTTGTTAATGGGGCATATGTGCTGAGAATTATATAACATTAAACATGGGGAACATTTCCTGGGGAAAAAAACATTCCATTCTTTCTCAACACATGGTAAGTATAGTGTCCAGGTAAAACACCACCCTCTAGTGTGCATCTCTAGATAGTACTGTCATGACTCTTCTGATGACAATGATTTGATAGCAGAGAATATTATGCCAAGAATTAAGATGCAGGTCATTTTTTTCTAATATGCATAACAAAGCTCATGCAAAAAAGAAGTGCATAATGAGCGATCCATTTCTCTGGCATAGGTAAAATACCTGTTGATTATTCTTAAAAATGAAACAAACTTTGCCCAAGTTTAAAGAATCCAAAACTGTCTTGAAAATGATGAATTTTACCTTTATGAATGGAGTTCAAGGTACGTGAGACACATTGTTCTATGAGAAGACAATGATCATTATCACTTGAGGCATGAAATGCAAAAAAGTGTTCCAGGAGGGCAGCATCCTAGGAGAAGAATCTATTATGGCTGTGCTTTAAAGAAATAGCATAAATTACTGGGATCAAGGTGGCATTCAAATGTGAAATATATTACACTAACAATGCACCAACAGAAACACAAAATTGTTTTGGAGAAATCCTCAAATTATCAAGTGTAAATATTCATCCAAAAAAGAACCATAACTGGTCATAGTCTAGGTAGAAGCTTGGCTTTAGTTACATTGTCTGATTTCATGTAAATCAAAGGACTAATGATTTGATAGTAGAGAATAGCAGTCCTTATGAATCCGATAGCAATAAAGAATAACAGGATACACTTGTGCCTTGTTATATAAGGAAATTTCCACTGCAGTGCTTAAAAGCTGTCTATTCCTTGGCAAGAAGACTGTTGGAAAGTGTTGTGAAGTTTTTTGACATTGTGCTTTTTTTTCTTTGTAGGGAGCTAAGTTAACTCATTGGTTGAAAATAACTCTGTAACTTCTTTCCACACTGATTAATATCTCAAGAAATGCTCTTAAATTAAAAAATTATATTCTGCCTAAACAATTTAATGTGGAATTGGCATGCTTCACAACGAAGTGAAGCATTTCAGAGTCATAAATTCTCTCCCGTAGAACATGGAGTTTATCAAATTCACATACATGTTTCAATATAATATCCACAAAATGCCTTATTGAGAGTCTTTGTTTGGAATCAGAGAACACTTAGGATCTCAATCTAAGGAAAACATCAGTAGAATCTTTTAACTATATCACAGAGTTATTTAGACTTTTGCTACAAACACTTTCTTGCATACCGTAGCTCTGATGTATCTACCTCAGCACATTTTTAAAGTAGTTGGAACGAATTTAATACCCATGGGTTTGTTCATGTGTACACCGTGTCCATATTTTCATGTGTTCATGGGATGGACATTGGTCAAACACAAGGCACTCAGGTAGGAAATATCCCTCTATAAATAGTATTATGGTCCCAGAAATTTCCCTCTTTTACAATGGGAAAATAAATAAAATTAATGCTTTTGCTCTGCTTCTAATTACGTGAGTTGAAAAACTAACTTTTCTTCGCAGACTTTGGCTTCCCAATTCCTCTAATATATAGTATGATTGTTTACAACAGTCCCTTCAAACTGTAAGAGTCTATAGTTTGTAAGACTGTAGTTTGAGCCAGGCATGGTGGTGCATGCCTGTAATCCTAGCAATTGGGAGGCTGAGGCAGGAAGATCACCAGGAGTTCAAGGCCAGCATGGATTATATTTTCTATAGTAAATTGAAGGCAGCCTAAACTCCTTATGAAGCCCTGTCTCAAAAACAAACAAAGACTCTGTAGTTTGGCTCATTAATTAGTATTAAAATATAAGGTGTTATTGACATCTAGTTATCCCCCAAATGCTTCATGTATTCAGGTGTTGGGCTTTTGGAAGGTGATTAGATCATAATAGTGGTAGATTTACCAGTGTTTTAATCCACTGAAAAATCCACAGCTAAGTGTGCTGTTAGGGAGAGGGTGCCTGGTTAGCAGTGGGTCACTGGGGTCAGCCTGAAAGGATGTCCCTCCCGCCCCAGTTCCACCTTGCTCTGGGCTTCCTGACTCCCAGGAGCAGCTTTCCTGCATCAGACCTTTTCACCATGCCCTTCCTGCCTGGGATCCAACTGACTGTGGACTGAATGGATAAGCCCAAATAAACCTTTCTTCCTCTAATTTGTGGATGTGAATTGTGTCTCAGAGCCTGCACAGTGACTAATGTTACATTAGTACTTAGAGTAACATGGGCTACAGAGGAAAACTCTAAAAGAAAACTGTTGCATAAATAATTCCATCACATACCGTGGCTTCTTTCTGTTCAGCCAGTTCTGGATAGCACAGGGGTTAACAAGAAAAAATGTGCCATAAGGCTCACTGGACCAGAATGCCAGCCACAAGACCTTAGTCACTGAAATTCTCTGTACCTTTGATTACCTACCAAGGTCAGGGGCATAAAAATATCACCTTTTCTACTTTGTTTAGGGGGTCACATGTAATTAGGCATATTAGGATTTTAGGACAGAGTTTATGTATCAATAATTCAACAACTTTTTATTATGGATATCAGTACTCAAAAAAGGAACAAAAAAAAAAAAAAACAGACAAGGAAAACCTACTCCAATTCTTATTTTTTAACAGAACATTTGAGGGAAAACTCATTTTTTCATTCCACATCAAATGGTTAATAATGTTTAATTAGTTATCTGCAATTGATATAGTTAATATCTGGAAACACAGGTAGCATCTAACCAACATTTATATGTGGAAGACACTATGTTTGAAAGATGAGTAGTTTAATTGAGGCATAACTTAGCTGTCAAGAATGGATAATGGTAAGAAAAACAGGTCTGAGAACATCCTTTGGGAAGCATCCTTTATTACTGTGTTCTCAGTGAAATCAGTAAGAATACACAAATAGTAGCCACGCATGTCTCTAGTGCCACCCATATAGAATGGAAGTGGGAAGAAAGGCATATTATAGCCATGGTGAACATAGCAATCTACCACAGGAAAACTATATGATTTAGTTAATCCAACAATATGGCTTGACAGGTTCTTTAAAAATAAACAAAACAGCACATTGTGAAATTTATCAAGTGATTTTTTTTCAAATAAATACCCATGCTGTGTTTCAATGTTCTCTAAGCCTTGACATTTAGGTTGAGTTATAAACTTGCTATGAAAATGGAAACTTGGATTTCTCCAAATGAAAGCCTTTTGGAGTTGATAAACAATTCTCGCTGCAGCTTAATAGATTCTCTCTAAATTTCAAGTCCAAATGTCAGAGCTAGAGACTATGAAGACTGAAAAAGTAGAGGTTTTGTTGATGTTTTCTATCTTATTACTGTTCTTATAAAGGTTTTTATTCCAACGAGTGTAACACATCATATGGTCTCTAGTTAACACTGGCAGTAACAAAATGAATTTGCAGAGTTCAAAGATACTAAGCAGATAGAGATATGGCCGGAGGATACCAGTGTCTGTACATCTATTTCTTGCATTAAAGAGTGTGTATAAAACTAAGTGGGCTTTGAGTGGAGAATATCATTTCAAAAGGATGTAAAACAGCCTGAAACAAATTTCATCTTTGGAGGACTCCGACAGAAGTGAGGAACTGGGGCCAAACTGACACTACTTAGTAATCAACAAGAGTTGTCCCCATAGGCAAAGGTTCTCCGGGCCCATTTAGCAAATTGATCAGGCTAACTTGGAGGAAGATCATAAGGACGTAAAAACTCCTTGGAAGCAGTAGGAAAATGAATAGCTGAATGGAGAAAATTGTGCCACCCATCTTCTTGTCCTATTACTGTTAACGCCAGCAGTCCCAATCAGTAGTTTATTGTATAGGGCAATCTTGTTGATTAGAAACTGGATTGGAGTTCATCAAAATGGAATGGCATGTAACTCATCCCTTCTATTCCTACCGAAATAACTTATACATCTTTAGAGACATTTTTATTTGTAGAACTATATTATGTCATAAGAATGGGCTTTGGGAATATATATAATGCCTTGTCAATCACGACTGCCATTCATTTCTTAAAGAGGCCAGAAAGTAAATCCGAAAAATAAGTCTCATTTTCTGTGGCAAGGAAGAGATTTCTATGCTACTTTCATTAGGGAAGTTTGAAATATTTGTCTTGAGGTCCAATTTCTTTGTCATATTATTTGGACAATGTTTATTTCAGGATGTATGCATCTTGCTAAAGGCCTGTATGTGTGATTGTTAATTTAATGATCTAAGAGAAAGAAGCAGATTTACATGATCAGAATTAGCCAGAAGGTCACTAAATTAGAAAACAACACATTACCCAAAAGTTTAAAGTTCACTGTCAGCCACAAACTCCTTTCTGTGACACACATCAGCTCATTACCCCAAGTCCTGACCCAAAAGAAGAGAATAAACAGTTAGTTGCTTAGCAACAGGACTGCTGAGCAAAGAGGTAAAATTCACTTTAAAGTTGCTTCTTGGGCTGATGATTTCAAGGTCTTTGCAGATCATGCAACTTCTAAAAGCAGCAAGGCTCCATAAATATAGAGTTAGATTAAGAATAAGGTTCATGTTCAAATACTGAAGAGAAAAGCATTTAAATAGCAATGTCAGAGAGATCATAAGTATCATTGAATTAGCATTTATTGAAGTCTATGTTATTTATTTCAAATCGTATAAAGTAAGAAGATAAAAAGACATATACCGCATATTACTGAGTACATGCAGAAGAAATTTAGTACAAGTATGCATTTAAACCACTATATATATATATATATATATATATATATATACATATATATTTAACATATATATATATATGTTAAAAACAGAAAATGTCTATTAGATGAGTATGTGTGAAATTTCAGAATGAGAAATCAACCGATACACAGAGGAATACTGCCTAGACAAATAAAATGTACAGTATTAAAACCTGTGTGTTAGTTAACCTTACCAATTCAGTATTTTTACACACATCAATTTGTGGGGCTCTAAGTGTTGATTATTAGATTTCACAAGTAGATGACTAAGAATATATCTTTTCATTTAATCTAC